AATCATGACATAAACGAGAACCTACCCTTAACTTCCGCCTTATGAATCTATGGCAGGAACCGAAATTGCAATCCCTTTAGAGCTTTTGTACATAGAACCAGCCACAGATGACTCTGTCCACTCTTCATTGGTCAGGATTGAGAATAAGTGGGGCCAGTCTTGGGAGTCTGCTTCACAGAATGCAGTGTTGCAAGACTCAATTTTTTTTACCTCGTGCGCAAGACTGCAGTGCAGAAAGGAAGGGATGAAGAGATGATCTCGAAAATATCACCCCATATGGTATAATAAGCAGTCGAAATTTACCGATGAATTGCTAAAGTTGTCAGGAGAAATGAACCACCACAGCAAAATCAAACCCTTTGTGCCGAATAAAAAAGAAAAAGAAAAAGGCATGCAGGAATTGCAGTCGCCATTTGTATTACAGACACGAATATAAACTGGTGAACAGTCCTGGGGCATTCATTGGGGCGACGGTGGCGTAGGAGTGAGGAACACTCCCCATAATCGGTGTACAATGGACTGATTATGTAATGGTCAGCAACAGGAAGTCCGAAGTCGGCCGAGACAACCTGTTTTGACCAGCAAGAGCAGCAGTGCCGAAAGAATTGGGCAGTTAATTGCTCCTCCATGCTTAGACTTGTAGCCAGCGTATCCAGCTTCAGTGTCCATCCTTTGGCGGCTAAAATAAGTGCAGAGACATCGCTTCAAGATGAATGGAATTATAGAGACAAACTTGAGTGGCGTAGATGAAGGAAACATTCAGCCTGAATACCCTGGCGGTGTGAAAACTCACGTGAAATGGGCTGCTGAGGTAGAATTCGCGCAGCCGTCGACTAAGTCTAGAAAGTGCTCCATTTCTTTTGGTAAAACGATTTTTTAGTGCTAGCATGGGAATTAAACATCCTTACCGATAAACCGAGCGTCTCCCTATCAGTACGCTTGCTCAATCTAGTCTGGCAGTTGAGGCGATCTAACCATGTCAGTATGGAAGTAGAAGACACTTATTTACTACCGCAATCTGTAGTTGGCTTTGTTTGTATACAAACTCAGGAGAATGATTCAGCGGGTCAGAACTTTAGTACCAAATAGAATATTTACTTCTTGAAGGGAATTGATAGCTTCAACTTAACATGTAAATGCTTGCTCTTGGGACATCAGGACATTAAGATTGGGCCACGAGACCCAATACAGCAGAAATTGCAAGTACCCTCTTCACCCAGGTGACCCATTGTCTAATTACAATTTCCAGCAATAAATCAGATGGTCTTTTAAAGGTCGTAATCACGTTATTCAGTGCTCAGGAACACCCTTGCTGTCCAAGCTTTAAATGATTAGACGATAGTACCCGGAAAAGATAGTTTGACGACTTCGATTTAATGCAATCTCCCACAATTTTACGAAATGAGAATTGTGTTCTGAAATAAATAACGTCATCAAATGGTTGAAAACACCTAACTGATGCGCTTGTTTGCATTAACGAAGTGTTTTACCCTTACTACGGCGTAATGATATATTTTACCTAGCCGAAATCCTCCAAGTGGGGTTTTGACATATCAGGCGCAAAGGAGGAGCTCCCTACAGCGCTATGGGCGCCTACGTCCTCGTCAATTTGATTGTGATCCACCGTTGACTAGGCCTGTTCCAAATCGTCTTCTACACCCCCTACCTCTGTCTCCCCTTCTGCTTTCCCTTATCAATCCTTAGATCCATCCCCGTCTCCTCTCCCTTAGTTTGTGGGAGACACAATGCAATATGTGGAGGTGAAGCCGAAAGTAAACAGTCTTTTGTAGAATGACAGCGCCTTGAGAAGATTTACTGTGGTTCAAAAAGGAATTGTACTAGACGCATTAACTTTCAGCAATTTTAAA